TGAAAACTGCTGAAAACGAGAAACTTTTTTTCTCGCATCACGTTCGAACGCATTCGAACGTTTTTAAGTTTTTATATAAATTGCTATTAAGTGCAATTACAAGCTTTATAAGTTAGATAAGCGTTTATAACTTTTAGCATCGTCGAGTTAAAACAAAGTTCAGCGTACTAATAATCAAATTAGTAATCCCTTAATTCCGCTTTAACGAAGACAAATTTTCTCCTGTGTAGATACCTTCATGAAATCTTCTTGCTCTTACAATCAACGTAGATCGAACGGGATTAAAAAGCGATTACGCGATAACGAGTAATTTAACGTCAATGTACTCTTAATGATCTTGTAATAAAATCAAGTCTTGACGTCAATAGAATGCGATATGCTCGCGCATATTAAACTTATCTACTTACAAAGATATCCAAAAATCTCATTTATCAAATAAAATTCATTTAAACAATAATTAATAGAGGCAAAATGATTTATGCATTGACTTCACAAGCTGCATTTGACATTGGCAAAGTTTAGACGAAATGTTATTCGGTCGTTATTATATTTTAAAGAACTTATTACCTTTATCTTCAGAATTTTACAGTCTAAAAACTCGGACTTTTTCATCTTATGAAATGTTTTTACTTATTGAAAAAGATAATCTTATCTTATTGTCCTATTGACAGAATTTAATATGCTAAGCCTCGTTTATTTCGCAAAAATAAAAATTACAATTTTAGTAAAAAAATTTCGAAAATTCAATGTAGCACTAAATCGCTAAAAAGATTTGTCAGCCGTAATTCTGGCAGAAATAAACTAAAGGTTATATTACAAAACGTGGAAATTGTTCCGCGCTAATGTTATGGGATAATTCCTTAAACGTTTAATAATATAGTAATTCCGTTTACGATATTACATGCACACTAATAAGATGATCTCGAGTACACATTTATATCCGCGTGGGCAAGGTAATTAACACGATAGCAACGTCGAAATGTAGGCATGCTGACGGTTACTGTATGCGGTGCATTTAATTCCGCGTGCTAAACCGGACGGAATGGAGCTTTACTTATTTTGCAGACACGATAAAAATTACACTGAGCTACACAAAAAGGAAAGATATTACTCAAATAAATGAAACGCAATCATTTCCTTCAAGTCTTAATAAATATCACATGCGGCGAATAAGTTTATACGATGTATGTAATAAATTCTATCTTTCGACGTCGCTGCACCGATAATTATTCTCGTTGGAAATTAATTCGTATAATGAAAATATTTCGAAGCTCCGTTTAGTTATCACATGTCGGGTAATTTATGATTAATATATTCGAACGTTACACATCGTAAATAATTAAAAGAATAAAATAAGAACCATGCACAATGAAATGCACACTGCAGAAAGATACATAGAAAACCCTTTGATAATATTTAAGTTATCATTACGTGTGTAACAAAGTATCTCGGTACAGAGCTGTATTAACTACAGAATTTGTCGGATCGACTCCTCGTGTCCACCGTTAATTGAGAAGATAGTTCGCTTCGTTCTGTTTTCCTTTTTTACACGTAATCTCACCTTGGGGAATGCGAACTATCGACGGACGAAATTTCACAGGGTTTTAATTACAAGGAAAAAAAAATCGATTTCTAATTCCCCGTTCAGTGGTGCACCATACGGGACAATTCCCGGAGGTTTGAGAGACAGGAAAGATGAAAAGGGAATTTCCCGGTTGTACCCAACCGGCTGATTCCACCCTTAAGTGGAATGTTTTGAAATTTCTCATCATTAACGGAAGCAAGATGAAGGAAAAAAGCCGTAGTTCGGCAAAAAGAAGGGAAAGAAAGAAAACCACGATTTACGGATTCATGTGCATGTAATGTAATGTAATGTATATGTAATGTCCTTTTTTTTTTTTGCGCCATTTTTTGTCGCAGCGGAAAAGGGCGTGGTAACGGCTCTGGCGGTGTCATTTTTTTCCGGCGAACCGGTAGCGGTTTTTCGGACTGCGTTTCATGTGAAATATTTTCAAATGAAAAGAGTACAATTAAAAAAAGGGACGCGCACACCAGTGATATTTGATAGTATTCCAAATGTGCGACAATGCGAAATTATCGCGCGGAGTTGTCGCGAGAATGTAGAGCGCAAAATTCCATAACCGCAATTGTGAAACTCACCCTCGAGCTCTCCCGTCGGATGCACGGCTTCCACAGGGTCGTTTAATCTTAGGACAGGATATGCCTCACCACAGATATGATCGACGACGCTTTAATAGTCACCTGTGACACAACAAATACAACTCTCATTTTCGACTCCCGAGACTCTCATTCATATTAATCATACAATAATATATACTAAAGTACTTTGCATTACGAGAACATTTTTATCGTGTATTTTATTAACTGTAATATTTGAAATTATTTCAAAGTCTAAAAATTCATATTTAATGATTGAATTGGGACAAAAATTACAAAACTTTTCGTCAACAGATATCGGAAAAATTATACAGATTTTAATCGATAATAATGTAAATGTGCTACACTAAAAAAAAAGTAATAAATAAATGTAGCGCATTTATATATTATAGATCTCAATTTGTAATTCTTTCGATTTTCCGCTGATGAAGAACTTTATAGTAGTTCAAAACGTTCGAGGGGGGAGTTCAATGTTCGATCATTAAATACGAATTTTTTAAACTTTGAAATAAACATTACATTTGACATCTTATATCCCTCGGTTTAATTTGACCTCGTTTCATCATTTGTTGGATACTATTACAAGTTTTATTTAATAACTTCATTCTATTTCATATTTTAATATAGATTTCACATTTGTATTAATATATTTATCTATTCATTGATATAAATTTATTCCTTATCGTATTAAAAAAAAAAAGATAGGCCAGAATAATGCAGCTGAACTCTTTTAAAAATACTTATTATTGCAAATCCATAAATATATTAATCCATAAATACATATGTACATATATATCCTTTTTATATTACATGCAAAAATAATACGTTCCCGTAAAGTAATGTTTAATTCACTTTATTCCGGCTACTCATTAGAGTAAACAGCAGCTATTTAATTTCAACAACTTCTCGATAGAGAAGCCACTCTACATCTTCGCCGGGCGAATGATAATTTCCTAATTATTGAAAATTTTCGTGGATCAGTCGAGTCTTTCGACAATACGTAAATTAATCGGCAAATTAGCGATACTACTCTCCGTTATTGCGAAGGACGCGAGATAGGGCTCCAGGTTATGCAACAGCCATACGACAGTAATGGCGTTCGCAGCTGACGACGTTAATAGAAGGATTTTGGGGGCAAGCCTCCTCCCTCCGTCCGTCAGACTAATTAACCTCGTTATATCGCTGGTCCAACCAACAGGACGCTACTCCTGTTCCCGATGTAACGATCGTCGTACCTCTGTACGAACCAACCCGACGCGAGACATCTCCCCGTCGAGAGAGTTCAATTAATCTAATGACGGTCTCCGTAACATCCTTGAGTGACCGATGTAACCCAACGTGAAGTATAGATATACGAGGACGTATCGTGTGTTTTCGGCTTGTTTTTTGTTTTTTTTTTATTTTTATTTTATTAACGCAAATGTTGCAGTAACGTTATTGTTCGTAAAAGAACAAAAAGTTTCCACAAACAACGTCCTCACCTGGAACTTTAGTTGAACGGAAATCGTTTCTACAGTTCGAGAAGTAAAAAATTATGAAGCAGAACCGGATAATTGAATTGAAAATAATCATGTCACTAGGCCCCAAATTTGAAAATATACATTTGAAAATATACACGAGGGTTTGCATTGGTGAAGGTTCTTGCCGAGTTATCTAAATGGATATAAAATCGAGGCGTCGGAATACGAATTGGATTTCGCTAAAAGTCCAGCCTGGAGTGACCAGATGTTACATAGATCGATGGTAACTTTAGTTTTAGCAACTGTCGCGCATTCGTTACTGTTCCATCATTGGATGTCACGACTGGCGATCGATGGATCCGATCGAAGTACGAAAGGCCGCAGCTTGCGACAAGCATAACGATCCGCGACGTCACAAATCGAATTTGGCGTTTCGAGGTAACATTGTGGGCATTCGAAAAAAATCCGCGAAAAGCAACAATTTTATTTCCGTCCAGCCGAGCGAGATTCATATTTCAAACTATCCGATCTATCATTTATTTTTTTTTTTACCAAAATGATCAAATACCAAATGTATCACGAGTACTGATAAACGATCAACGTATATCGACACGAACGTACAGCGCAAAAAAAGATGATTCGATATATTTAAAAATTTAAAAAAAAAAAACGCATAATAAAATTCCGACGTGCCTATGTAAGGTTTCATTTTCAATGAAAAAAAAAAAAAAGTCGGTATCAATCGATAGATGGAAGCCCCTCGCGGTTGAAAAGTAACGAAGACCTATCGGTGCGTCGCTCTAACGGGAGACATTAACCGGAAGTAATTCCGCCTCCATCAGGTGCCTCGTCATACTGTTCATTACTTATCGATCCGACTGGCGAAATTGAATTTAGCGGGAAAGAGCGACGGAAAAAAGGGGTCGATGGAGTATCAGGGGAGAAAAAAATGAGAAACGAGTAAGAGGTAGGCAGGGTACGTGTTCCGAACCGTGTGCCAAGAGCAAAAGGTGGAAGTGCAGTGAGAAGAGAGATCGAAATAATCGAGAATCGAGAAGCGAATCTCTCTCCCTCTCTCTCTCTCTCTCTCTCTCTCTCTCTCTCTCTCTCTCTCTCTCTCTCCTGGAATTTATCGCGTTAGTACTGCGAGCGAACGAAGCTCTAACACGCCCGACACCAGGATTCCAATTAGCCACTTTAACCATTTCGCGAGATCGAATCCTACCGATTCTCGTTTCGTTCTCGTCTCCTCTTTCTTCCCCTCGCTCCCTTATCTTACGAGACCTCACGCCGATCTCGGAATAGCATTGGGGATGCTGGAGTACTTTACTTCCGAGTCTACCCGATTACGTCGAGCATCACGGGTATTAAACGCTTACTAATTCGATATCTTCGATAATATACTATAATAGAAATCTTCATCGTCTCCATTATCTGAATGTTCTATCGTTTAGAACAGAATATTCGATTCGTGTATAGAAACGCCGTTTTACTTCTCTCACACAGAAATACTGCACGCCCGCTTACTTTCTAAAGATACGAAAGATGCCTCTTGACTTTAGAACGTTAGACAAGAGGCTTTAAAAGATATGGCATAAAATTAACGTAACTTTACGTAGGAGTCTGCGTTAACAGACTTATACATAATTTAGCGGAACGTGAGAAGATCATAAACGTAAAAGCAAGCCTGTCAAGTTCTCCTCAGATCTTTCTTCTCTTTGAAATAAATAAAGTTAAGCGCCGGAAAGGCGACTGCCTCTTGAAGGAAAGACAAAATCGAAATCGAAACGGCGAAAACAATTTAGATAATTTTATTTCGAATCTAATTTTTCGCTCCTTTCCCCTCCCGTTAAAAAAGTGAACTAGATCGCGTCGTCATCGCATCCAAACTCATCGTGTCGACTTGTTTCGCGGGGATGGAATTCCGATGGATGGCATTTCCTCGACGACGACGCGATTTTCATTCATCATACAATCGTGCAATCGTTAGATGCATATTCACGTAAAATAATAACGAAAAAAATGCAAGTTTTGTTCGCAATTTCTTTTCTGCCTTTCTCTTCTTCTTCTTCTTCTTCTTCGTCCACGACTCCTTTTTCCGATGATATTTCGCTTTTACGTTCTCGCGTAATAACGAAGTATTACTGCGTCTCTCTCTCTCTCTCTCTCTCTCTCTCTCTCTCTCTCTCTCTGCTTTTTATTTTCCCGACAATGTTTCTTCTCCGTGTCCATCGTCGACTTCCTTAACTTCGCCTTATGGAGAACGCTCATCGCTGTCTTGCGTTTCGCTCTGCGAAACGAGGTTGCCGTCGTCGGCGAAAAAAATCCATCTTCACCAAAGGAACTGGCGACGTAAAATAATTCTTCGCTGCAAAATACTGCAAATACTGTAGGGTATAGCGTAATGCACAAATGTCGACGAGAAAGGAGCATAACGTGAACGAAATTGCGGAAAGTCGCGCGATAATATTGAATATTTCCATATATTTCAAACGTATTCTTCTCCATAATATTTCGAAATTTATATATTTACATTCGAACCACGCGTTTATGATTTCCTATGATTTCCATCCGCCACGCGAAATATATGTTTTTACTTTTTATTATTCTTTCTATAAATTTTGTATATATATTAGGTTAAGTAAAAAGTCATCGCGTTTTTTTAAAAGACATCTATCAGTAAAAACTGCAATTACTTTCTTACCAACAATATAAATATATCTTGATAGAGTAAAGTTTCAGCTTTAAAAATCTCTTTTTTAAATTATACGATACGACAATTTTTAATGGAGTTATGAGCAATTAAAGTCAAAATAATTCTTTTATTTAATCCGCGATAACTCAGTAATCAAAAGTCGTAGGAATTTTAAAAAAAAACGATTTTGTAGGGAAAGTATCAAGCTTTCACGATAGGTAATCGAAAATTTTCTCAAATTCGTTTTGGACACGTTACAAATCCATAAAGTGAGAAGAAAATTTTTCGTCTTTTTCAGCTCGTAGTTTTTGGTATGTAAAAATTATCAAACTCATATAAACTTAAAAAATGTGATAAGCTTTTAAAAGTAGAGATTTGAAGCTTTAAAACCCTTTTTTTAAATTTGAATTTCATTCATTATTGAAGAAGATATTGTATATACAACTTTGAGCTAAAAAATACGCGATGACTTTTTACTTAACCTAATACATATATATATAAAACATTTATAAATAACGTCTACTCGTATATAACTCGTGTATAATTCAAATAAAGAGTATTTTTCATAACATATATTTTTAACAAAGGTTACAAAATAAAAAGCATACAGCCACAGCTCAAGATGTCAATAAGTTCAATATTATTATTTTAACATGTAGACGTTTCGGTCAAGATTTGACCCTCTTCAGTACATAAATCCGTTAAGTTTAAACAAAGAACATATTTTTAACAATAACAAATTGTATAATTTTAATATTTCCTATTTTTCTACACATTAGTCCGACTCAATATACGTGATTAAAAATTACATTTGGATCAATCAAATACATAATTCGAAGGATGACAGTAACATTCGCATGTACGCACTTTTCATTTCTTTATCCGTATTATACGCAATCGTTTTCTTTGGCCTGCGATAATAGTCGTCG